GGGCCTCCCATCCCTTTCCTTGTCCCTTTCCCAAGTGCTAAGTGCCCATAGTAGTGCCCTTATTAGAAAAAAAGGAGCTTGACGTAGAGCGCTATAATAAAAAAAAAAAATTCATAAATATTATTGTAGATATCTAAATTTATTATTTTACTTCTCTTGAACTAACACTTAATTGTGGTCTGTTATGATTGTAGATTTTTAATCCAGAAGAGACTGTCAGCAGAACAGCAAAATATGAATTTTATACAAATAAAAAGTTAATGAGTAGTAATGCCCCATAATACCAAGTTTATCTTCTAATATTAATTATAATGACCAAGGAGCATGTAAAAGGAGTATATGGTTGCTCTAAAAAAGATTTTTGGTAGCGATACTAAATCACTCTGACTTTGTAATTTATTGGGCTATACAGTGAAATAAAACAGAGTATTTTTTGCTTCTCTTATGAATTTTATAAAGTAAACTGTGAGTTTGATTAAAAAAATTTGAGGGTACTGATAAGTAAAGCCTTATTTATCTATCTCATTTCAAAATTTACTTTTCGGGGAACATCTTTCATATTTAATTATTCCTTGTTTGATCTTACATAAGAGTTTTATTTTAATTTTTTTTTTCAATCTTTTATATATTTGTAATTAAGAACTTTTCATTTAAATTAAAATAAAATTAAATCAAAATAACTATTTTATTAAAAAATTAAAATATGATGTTAGTAAAAAACAAGCAAATGAAAGTAATAGAGGAGTCACACTTTTCAACTAAAAATTTTTTTGCCAAAATTTATTTTCCATGACTAAATTATTTCCACTGTCAATTTGTTAAGAAATTTTTTAATTAATTCTTAAAACGTTAGCAACATATTGTTTATGTTAAAAAAGGGCCTAGCAAATTTTAACCTGTGCTGTCGTACCTTCAACCTTGGGACTTACTTACTATTATATCAAATGCTAAAACTAAAAAAAATTGCTTTTTTATACGAAATGAATAGTCATAATTGTGTTATTCTGAAACTATATGTTGATTTTGGTACAAGAACTTCAGAAGCAATGTTACCTCCCGTTATCACTGTAGCTTTAAAATGATATTCTTATGATTGTTTTTACATTCAGCCTTGTACCGTGACACGAACCGTCAGCTGAACTGTAATTTCTGATCAATATAACTATAGCTCTAATTTTTAATTAAAGTTTATGGGTCAGTAAGACTTTTTGAGTACTATTTATTGTTGTAGTTTGACGATTCAAATAGATGCTACCACATGATTAATCAACACTTTTGAACGTTGCGCAATCTACGCTGAAATATGTATTTTTTCATTCCTACATTAACTAAAAATTTACTATTTAGCAAATAAATATACTTATTATAGGACATTTTTTTTGTACTACTTGTCAAAAAATTATCGTATTGTTTCCAATACAAAGATTTTAAAAAACACTCTTTGTTTTGTATTTAATAAAGACGTTGATTGTCTGCAATGTTTTTCCCTTATTCCTAATGATAATTTTGAAAATTCCTCGTCACAAAATCAAGTATTAACACTTCATGTTATTTATTAAAAGTATAATCAAATCAGCAATAATTTAATAGCTCTCGTAATAATTTCTATACATTTTTTTAAAATCAGTTTTATTTACCAAAAATTTTTTTTATTTCGTTTCCAAAATTGATTTTTGTGTTGCATACATTTTTTGAGGTTCTATCTATTATTTTTGAAGCTTTTTTAAACATTATAAAAACTTTTTTTTTAATTTTCAAATCAATTTTTCTTAGTTTTCTTTCATATGATTTTAACTTTCAAAAAATACTTCTAAGATTGTTTAAGTCTGAAACTTGATAAGCTGTTATATGATTTGTCATTCTTTTTAAAAGTATAATGGAGGCAACAGCAGTGCAAGCTATTGATAAAATTTTTCTATACTGAATTATAAAATAATACATAAATATTTACATGGTAAGGTCTTTCTTAATCCTTCACTACAATCTACGAATACAAATTTATGTAATTTTTGTGATTCTGTTAACGGAAAACCCTACTTATTTTTATAGATATATTTTTTGACACCTTATACACACAAATGTTATTTTGTACAATTATTGTTAATAAATAATACATTTTAATAAAAAAATTTTTTTCAAGAATCCATTTTGATTAACAAGTACACATTTTTGTATTTCTGAAAGATCAGTGGCAATTGGATAAGTATTAGCTACTATGCATACTTTCATGGAAAAAATAAAAGTTAATTTTGTTTATAACGAAATTTGAAACAAAAACAGGTATCGTTCATTCAACAAACTAAAGAATTAGAGAAACAACTTAACATAAAATATTTAGTTGGATATTAAGTGTTATCAGACTAATCATTAACGTTTCTTAAAATTTTTTAACAATCATCATTAGCTCCCTATCTTACTAATATATGAAGCAAAGTCGCTAAAACCGTTGTAATCGCTCACCGCGAAAGCTACTGAACCGATTTTGCTGAAATTTTGCATACCGATTCTTGACAATTCCTAGATAGTTTTAGTATGGTTTTTTCTCTTAAAAAATTTAATAAAAATAGCAATAAATAAGCATAAGGTTTTGCAAAAATACGCCAGCCTCTCACTTTAGTTCAGTAGGATCCGATAGGTGGCATTGACATAAAATCGAGGCTACCTGCAACACAATTAAATAAGTGTGGTTATAATAGGCCAGAGCGTCATGGAAATTTCTGTAATTGTCTACTGGCGGATCAAAGTACTGCATCGAGAATGTAGATAATAGTCGTACAGCTGGGCATCCCGGTCACCAATGACGCTCTTCCCCTTAGACGAGTAACCTAGGTCTACTTCCACTCTAATCCTTCAGGATTAACGAGTTCCACCAATAAAAAATTTATTTTGAGCGATAACGTCTCCGGCCAAATAACAGGCAATGTGTCTAGCCAGAGCCCATCCTGCTCCAACACTTCAGAGTTATGTGGCCGTACCACAATCTGGCCTGCCGCCGTTAGAGAATTTTTTTACTACAAATGTAAGCCAGGGAAGACAACCCTGAAGAGTATGGGCAGCCACAACTACCAACTTCTTAGTCGTCATTCCAACGGCATACTTACAGAGAAGGTATTCTCCAGGCCCACTTTCTCGACTAACGATGAGTGGTTGTTTATCCGGGGAACGACCTGAACACGAGATTTTTTTTTGGTCAGCGGCGTATTTCCCTCATGTACGGTCTCCGTCCACAGAGACTCTGACGGTAAGAGTCAAGCTACCCACAGCTGGCTCTTTATCGTCAAGAATAATAATAAGAAATAACTAGAAATTTTACCACTGGCCTTTTTCAGGGCCAAAATAAGTGTTCACGTTCATTACTGAACTTTCAATCTCATCGGTTTTTTTAAGAGCCGCCTAAGTTTAAACTACCTTGAATACAAATACATTTTTACTACCATTTTCGGAAACATTATTTGTCGACTAAAGGATTACGTAAGGCCGGCCACTGTTAGGTCTGTGCCTAGGTCTGCGCTGGGCGAACCTAACAGCTATGAAGGAAGAAAAAAACTTGAGCCAACGGGAGTCTCTAACGGGCAAGCATCACGAACCAATTTCTAATAATCTCTCCACCTTAAATCATTTAAACAACTGAGTCTGCAAAAAAAGGTGCTTTAGACACCAACGTCTTTGACGTTATGCCAGGAGACGTTGGGAAAGAGCACTGCAACTAGCCCCAATGCTTCGGACTTAGTAATTTTTCTCCCAATCACTCTGGGTCTTCAACAGCAGGCCAGAGAAGATCATCCTGAAGTATCCAGGCAGTCACATTTGCTGTAAACTTCAGTCAAGAAAGAGTTTCCTTAAAAAACTCACTGGTCTTTTTTAGCGCAATCGGACGTCGAACTACCTTACCAACAAATATATTAGAACTTAACAAAATTGACAGAAAATAGCCTTTAGAGGTCAGAAAAGTCGCAAGAGGGTGAATTGGAAGGAAAACTTCAAATATATCTAATGAATACAATTTTAGGCGTCAAGAAACTGACGCAGAAAATTTCTCGAGATTGGAACAGTAGCTTCGAAATCGACAAATAAAGAATTCATTACGTGAGAGATCAGCTTCTCATTTTACCCTCACAGTAATCTCTTAAATCTTTAAAGATCTAAATTCAGGTTTTTAAATAAGAAGAAAATGTATTTGTATTTTTGTGGTAATGAAAAATGTAGAGATTGAGCTCCAGGACTTTGTTGCTCTGGTAATAAAGTTGTGAGATAAGAGAAAAAAAATTTTTTTTAAGAAATATTTTTGAGAGTTTAAAATCTTAACATCTTTAAAAAACAGCCCTTTTCAAAAATAACACAGGAGAAACTTATAATCAGCCACTTCTTATGTCTAACGATTATTTTATGGCACAAGAAACGTACGGTACTTTTCAGCATAATCATAATTTTTTTGTTTTTATAGCTTATTATTAGACCAAATAAACTGAATGAATTGCAAAAAATATGTTTTTAATGAGAAAATTTTTGTTCTGAGAAGTGACAAGAATAAATGCAAAATTTTTAACTGAGAACGTTTCACATTATGTTTGGTAAAACACTTTATTAGATATTGTACAAGAGGGTTAATTACAGCGTGAGAGGCGTCGTGAGTGTGAGCGAGACAGGCGTCCGGTCGTCTCGGAGAGCAGTGCTCAAGTGCCCGAACGCAGAGGTGGCTCCCGGCAAGGCGGAAGTCCGTGAGCATGGCGAAAGTGCACGCAGCGCCTCGCTCGGCTGTCGCGCTCGGGTGCGAAACCAAACAATCTGCCCGCCTCGATCCTGGATCGAAGAACTACGTGCCGCCTGCCAAACCGAGGTCGGTCGGGGAGTCTTCTGGAGGCGGCGGAGCCGCGGGAGGCGCCGACACAGGCAGCAAGACCATCTTGATGATGGATCGCTCGTACACGCCAGTCGCCGTCTTGAGGAGCGCAGACAAAGCCGTCAGCTTCCGGGTGGACGCTGATGACACGGCCGATCGGTCATCGGCCGCTGGACTGCAGAAGTGTAGCGTCGAGGAGAACGACCACATCGCCGACGATGAAGTTCCGGCGAGGAGTAGTCCATTTTGACCTTTGTTGAAGTGTGTTGAGGTATTCTTGGCTCCAGCGGGACCAAAAGTGGGCGTGGACCCCCCGAACGAGCTTCCAGTGGAAGAGTGCATCCAAGCTCTCCGCAGGGGGGCCGGGCAGAACGATGGAGTTGAGAGGGCCACTGACGAAGAAATGCCCTGGGGTGAGAATATCGAGGTCTCCAGTGTCTCCAGATAGCGGTTTCAGTGGTCGGCTATTTAAGATCATCTCGATGCCAACGAGCACCGTGGAAAATTCCTCGTAGGTGAGATGGCGTGACCCCCTGACTCGCTGGAGGTGACTTTTGGTTGACTTGACGGCGGCCTCCCACAAGCCACCGAAGTGAGGAGCACCTGGGAAAATGAACTTCCAAGCAATTCCTTGATCGGTGAGAGAGCCTGCGACCAATCCCCAGTCCAGCTCGGCTGTCAGCAAGGCATCGCGCAGCTTGACATCAGCGCGGCGGAAGCAAGTCGCGTTGTCGCTCCATATCTCACCGGGCTGACCGCGGCGTCCAGCGAATCGGTGGAGGGCGCCCAAGAAGGACGCAGCTGAGAGATCGCTGACCAGCTCCAGGTGCAGGGCCTTGGTGGCGAGGCACACAAAAACGACGATGTAGCCTTTTGTGGTCGGGACTCCTCGTCCTCTGGCGGAGAGTACATGGAAAGGGCCGTTGTAGTCCACTCCGGTGCAGGCAAAGGCACGAGAAGGGGAGACTCGGGACGACGGCAGTGGGGCCATGAGTTGAGTCGCTGGTCGCGCTCGCAGCCGGATGCAGACGACGCACCTGCGGAGGTGAGCCTTGATCCGCCGGGGCCCACCGAGGAGCCAAGTGCGCTTACAGACGTAGGCACTGGTGACACGATATCCACCGTGCAGCGCCCGAAAGTGCGCCCAGGCGATGACCATGGAAGCGAAGGAAGAGACGCCGCTGAGGATCGGCGGGTGCCGCTCCTCGTAGGTCAGCGGCGAATGCTCGATCCGCCCGCTGACGCGTAGAATCCCGTCGTCATCGAGGAAGGCTGCTAACGGTACCAAGGGGTTCGTCTTCCGCAGACGTTCGCCCCGTCGAAGACACTGGAGGTCGTCCGAGAATGATCTCTCCTGGCTGAGGCGTACACACGTGAGAAAAGCGTCGTGGAGTTCGGTCGGCGTAAGAGGTGAAGCGACCGAAAGAATCGGACGAATCGACGAATGCGTACGAGGAAGCTTAGTAGCATGCGTAAGTTGGAGAATTGCTCGAGGTAGTTGGCGTCGAGCTGCTGCACTACGCAGCAGATGGATAAATGCTGGTTCGGTGCAGGGAGCAGGTCTAGGGGCCACGGGTCGACGTCCTCGGCGAGCCAAGCGGGGCCCTCCCACCAAGTGCGCAGCGAACGAAGGTCGGTCATGTCGACACCTCTGGTCGCAAGGTTGGCTGGATTTGACTGGGTCGGCACGTATCGCCAGACGCTCGAAGGCAGGATTTCCTGGATTTGGGTGACATAGTTGTCGATCAGCACGTTGTTGGTTGGCCTGTCTGAACGCAGCCAGTGCAGAACGATCTGTGAGTCACACCATGCGTGACAGCGGTCGACAGGTACGCGTAGCTTGTCAGCAGCGGCCCGCAGAAGCTTGGCGGCAATCAGTGCGGCGCGGAGCTCGAGGCACGGAATCGTCATGCGCGCGGATGTCTCTGGTGCCGGCTTGAGCGAGCGAATCGGCGAGAGCTTCGTCCGAGCCAGAAGAATGTGGCATAGCGCCGGCCCAGCCCCGGGCGCGAGGCGAGAGTAGATGACGGCTGCCATCGCGCGGAGACTGGCGTCCGAAAAGCCGTGCAGGTGAAGCTCGGAAGAAGGCCCGCCTCCGATCCAGCGCGGTAAGGTGAAGGTGGAGATAGCCTGGAGCTCGGCAGTAAATGCCGCCCATCGGCGAGTCATTGAGATCGGCGCAGGCTCGTCCCATCCCAGTCTGGCGCGCCAGAGATCCTGGAGCAAGAGCTTGGCATTCAACACGATCGGCGCGAGGCAGCCGCATGGGTTGAACAGACCCGTGAGCGCCGCGAGCATCGTCCGCTTTGTGCTCTGCGGCTGGAGTGGTGGAGGCGTCAACTGACAGCAGTCCGACGGTGGATCCCACTTGACCCCGAGTTCGCTGACGAGGCCTTCAGCGCTGAGCTGCTCCCAGGTCGTACGTAAGCGAACGTCCTCAGGCAGATCGTCGTGCAGCTCGCGGACATTGGCCACCCACTTCCATAGGGAAAAGCCGCCGGCCTTCATAAGCCCGCTCAGCTGGTCGCGGAGGCGCCAAGCCACGGTGACGTCGTCGGCCCCGGAGAGAAAGTCGTCGGCGTAGCAGTCACACAGGGCGGCTGATACAGCTTCGGGCCAGTTGTGTCCTTCGCCCTGGCATAGCTGTTGGGGGGTACGCAACGACAGGTAAGGCGAGCACGATTCGCCGTAAGTCACAGTGAGCAGCTGGTAGTGGGTTGGAGGCTGGCTGGGATCGGCAGCCCAGACGATCCGCTGCAGGTCGACGTCATGGTAGTCGATCCAAATCTGCCGGAACATCATGCGGATTTCACTGCAGAAAGCGATGCGGTGCCGCCGCCAGCGCATGAGCACCGATGGGAGCGCGGCTTGGAGTCTGGGTCCAGCGTGGAGGACTTCGTTCAAGCTGTGACCACTGGAAGTCGGGTTGGACGTGTTGAAGACTACTCGGAGCTTGCGCCCGCAATTAACATGCTGCCAGATGCCATGATAATGGATGTAGTTGACGGGCCCAGCTGTAGCTGCAAGATCAGCGCTGGTGAGTGGGCACATGTGGCCCATCGCGAGATAGTCAGCCATGAATCGACTATACTCCACAGCCATCTCAGGGCTTCGCCAAAGCCGGCGTTGCAGGGCTGCCAAAAAGGTTTTGGCGCTCAGAAGACTGTCGCCAAGAAGAAGCGAAGCGCTGCCCTTTAGCGGGAGGCGCACGATGTACCGTCCATTCGCGGCGCGTCGGTGGTCTGCGAACGCACGCTCGCACTCGATGTCCTTATCTGAGCGGCGGAGAGCCTGAGGAAGATCCTCCATCTCCCAGAACCGCTGTAGCACAGCGGTCAGCTCGTTGTGCCAAGGCGGAGCCACGTCGGATTGGGCGGCTGCACGTGCGCTGCCCGACGATTTCTCCTCGTTGAGTGTAGGCGGGTCGTAGCAGCAAGTGGTAGTAGTCGGGGCCGATGAGGAGGTCGACGCGTTGTGGCATGCCAAACGAAGAATTGGCGAGGCCTTCGCAGTCAGCCCACTGCCGGATCGCCTCCGGGTGCAGCGGGATGGAGGGGGATACCAGGCCGAGCCTGGGCAATCACAGCGCTGTCAGCGCGACCGGTGGTGCGGGCCCTGGAAGCTCGAGGCGGAGATGGGCCTGGACTCTGGACCGGACGGCGGACTCACCGCCGACGCCGGAGATGCTGGCTTCGATGGTTTCTAGTCGTGCGCCGACCAGGCGCGCGAGAGTCACAGAGATGACCGTGACCTCGGAGCACGCGTTGATCAGCGCTCGGGCCGGAACTCGACGACCAGGAGGACCGCTCAGATGGACGAGGGCGGTGGGAAGCACGGCTAGTCACGCTTGAGGTGACGCGTCAGTCGAGTGCTCTCCCACTGAAGAGGTGGGCGGGTCCGTGCGGAGCTGCTTTGTTGATGTAGAGCTGTGGGGCTGCCCCGAGCGGCGGCCACGGGCACCGTCGTGCAGTGAGCTGTGATGCTGCTCTCGGCAATATTAGCAAGCCGACCAGGAGGGGCAGTACTTCACAGCGTGCCCGGGTCGGAGGCAATTGAAGCACAGCCGTGCCTGGTAGACGAGCTCCCTCCGTGCGCGTACATCAAGCCCCTGGAACTGCGCACAACGCCCGGGATAATGGCCCTTGTGGCACGCCGGGCACGACGGCGTATCGTTGCTCGTGGCGAGGGCGTGGTAATTGCGTCCTGATGTCGAGGAGTTCGAGCGTGCAGCTGTCCCGCTGAAGAGACGTGCGGGCGTGCGGGCTGCGAGGCTTCAATAGAGCTGGCGGCGCGGCAACGGCGCCGAAGAAAGTTGGTCAAGGTGGCGAATGTGGCGACGTCAACCTCGGAGCCGGAAACGGTACTCTCCAACCGTTGGAGCTCCTCCTCCCATGCACGCCTCGTCGCTGGATCCATGCCAGTCATTCCACACGAGACAAACCAATCGTCCCAGCTGGCTACGGGACGACCTTAGGCGCCAAGCTGGTCGCGATATTTTTCCAGGGTGTCCAAGAGGCTCTGCAATCCGCAGGCGGACTCGTCTCTGAGTGGTTTGATGTTCCGCAGGGCTGTGACATGGTCGTGGACGAGAAGGTGGCTGTGCTCGTAGCGCGCTTCAAGCAGAGCCCATGCCATAGAGTAATTGGCCTCGGCTACCTGGACCGTATCGAGGGCCGTCTTAGCGTCTCCCTGAGCAAGCGACTTTAAATAGAACAGGCGCTTGACGTTGGTGAGTTGGCAGTCCTCGTGGATCAGCGCTCGGAAGAGATCACGGAAGCTCTCCCAGTCTTCTCGTCTCCCGGAGAAGTTCGGAATGCTGATTCTCGGCAAGCGAGGCCCACGGCCCGAAGCCGGGTTTCCTGGGCCCGGAAATGGCCCGGGAGGGACAGGTGCCGGCGCCAGGGAGTCTCTCGCGTCGTAGAGGCAAGACCGTGCGTCGAGGTAGTGCGCTTCCACGTCAGTGTAAAGCTGGACCAATCGAGACGCCTTTTCCGGTGGCAGAGCTTCGATGAGCTTGAGATGGTTGGCTTGAAAATCGCCCCAATATCCGCCGAGCAATTCCAACCTCGCTTCTACAATGCCCGAGCTCCAGCGGGCTGGCTCCATCTCATGAATGGTGCGGGCCAGGTGGTCAACAACCTCGGCGAGAGCCGACTGAGCACCGAACAGCGCGGTCCAGCCTTCGTCCATTCTAAAACATTAGTATTCGACGCTTGAGCGGAATATGCTACCGAGCCACAGCTGGCGGTGTTAGGGGGGTCGACAATTCGAGTCGAATCGGTAGGTGACGCGCTTGAGCGGACAAGATGGCCGCCACGGCCGACAAGGAGGCCGTCGGCAGATCATTGCAATAATGGCGGCTTGATGAAGCCGGGCCACGTCTATACCACTCGTTAACTTTGGCCGTCAGCGACACAGCCTGCTTGCCGCCGTGGCTGGGCCAAATGACTGGACCACGAGCTCTGTCAGCCGCGGCAGTCCCTCACAACATTTCACGCGTGCAGGGTGACACGGCTTCGACATTGCCGTGGCCGAACGACTGGTGCTGGGCCGCGGGCACTATGGCGACCGCGGCGGCCATGTTCGCGCTTTGTTTGTCACTTATACTTACATTGTTTCGAATAATTTGGAACCACCGGCTGTCCTCTGGGCTGCTGGTCACTGGTTATCTCCGCGGAATCCGGCTCTCAAAGGACCAATGTTTGGTAAAACACTTAATTAGATATTGTACAAGAGGGTTAATTACAGCGTGAGAGGCGTCGTGAGTGTGAGCGGGACAGGCGTCCGGTCGTCTCGAAGAGCAGTGCTCAGGTGCCCGAACGCAGAGGCGGCTCCCGGCAAGGCAAAAGTCCGTGAGCATGGCGAAAGTGCACGCAGCGCCTCGCTCGGCTGTCGTGCTCAGGTGCGAAACCAAATACATTACATGTCAACACACTATGGTGTTCCATTTGGTAAGTCTTGGGCGAAGCCGAGACGCGGGGCAGCTAGTTCTTAATAATTTCAAAATTTTATTATACCTTTATCAAATGTTATGCAAGTAATCAAAAATCTTTGTTAGGAAATTATCTATTTGATTCCAGTTTTTAAGTGAAATAGACAAAGAAGAAAGAAATTTAATTGCTTTTATTTCTATATTCTGTCTTGTTTTATTTAAGAATAATCAAATTAAGCAAAGCTTATGACAAAAATAATTAATTTGTTGCTTTATAGTTTTTTGGTATCGGACAAGTCTCTCAGTGTACAATTAACGATTTTTTAAGCTTTCTGGGATCATTGATGTTTTGTCTTACACAATAAAATTTGTCGTGCATTTTTTTTACATCTGACCTTCCGTTTTTTATTTTGAGGATTTTAGTAACTTTTTATCGTTGGTAAGAGTTCTTATATGTATATTATTCTATTTTGCATAGCTTTCTTAAATTAAGTTATCAATGAACCCCACCCTCATTCTTCTCACTTCTACTCTCTTTTCCTCACTCCTCCTCAGCTTCTTCTCTACCTCCTCTTTGGCTCCTTGTTAACTCATTTTTAAATAACGTAGTTTCTTTGTAGATTTCTTGTCATATTTAACCCATTAAAATTGGCTAATTCCTTCTTCTCACTCCATCTTTACTCCTCGTCAGCTCCTCATCTGCCGTCACTACGGCCCCTTCTTAGGTCCTATTCCAAATATCATATGCTGTTATTCTGTGGTTTTTTTATGGTCTTGAACTATATCAACTAAATCAAGTTGGCTTATTGAATGTTCTTATCTTTTTTCATTTGATCTCTGGTCCTGTTAGTTCCTTTCATCATCCTATTTTTTTATAGAATAATGTTGCTTTATTACCAACGGTTACAGTTACCCTTGGAAATTTTTTTATTCCGACTATATCCATCTATACGAATAAAGAAAAATGTTGGCATATTCTTAGTTATTTTGAAAATAATGGTATTTTTGACGAGTTTCAGACCCTTAACATAGATAATCATAATTTTCCTATGTTATTAAGTTATTTTAAAAATTTTCGCCTACTCATCAGTACTTTTCCAGCGTCTTTCGATGTAATGGAATCTAAAACGTGAAGCATTTAATTATCATTTAATACATGCAAAACAAATACAAAAGTAGATATTCTTAATAATTTTTATTTCTATTACAATGGCCCTGTGTCTCATTAAATGTATGGATCTTTTATGCAGTATAATGAATATTGTTTATGTTATTTTTTTTTATTTTTTGTTTTTTTAAAAATTGAATACAACTTTCCAGTTCCAAAACAACATTCTTAGAGATTTCAAATGTTAATAGTAGTTGTGAATTTTTTTATGTGTATACAGTTTTGTGAAAGTTGCAATTCCTTACTAACAATTCTTGCATGTATGCATTTGGGTTAAGCTGGAACAGAGTTTACCGACTAAATAAGAGTTCTTTTTTGTTTTATTATAAAATAATAAAATGTCCTTTCAACTTCCTTATTATTTATTTTTAAGAACAAGATTCTCAACTAAAAATCACAGTTAAAAATAGAATGACATTTTGTAAGTGTTTTTAAAAAATCGACGATAGTCCTTATTTTACCATCTCATACGTAGAAAAAAAAAAATTACTAGTTTTTTTGTTTATTACTATTAATTTTTACATAACCTATACAGTACTGCTGTATTATGATGCATTTTCTAATCTTTTGTTTTTAATTAAACACAAAAGAATATTTACTAAATGCGAAGATCTGAATTTCTTTTTAGTAGCAAAATTGTGCATTATTTATTAAAATATCTATAATTTAAGTTATTCACTTCATATTTCAAAGTTTCGTGAAGAACTTCATGAAAAATTTAATCGGACAAATATGTTGCAAATGATTAAAACAAAGAATAAGTAGAAAAAAGCACCTCGTTATGAAGTATAGTATCTTTAAAACGACAGAAGAAATTTAAATGGTAAATGTTAAAGTATAAGAGCTCAAAGTTGTTGGGGCACAATTTATTTAACAATACCAATGTTTAAATATACATATATATAAGTATACTGTAAGAAAGAATAGCATTAATTGGGTCTCAAAATTTTAACAAAATCTTGTCTACCGATTTCAAGAAGAAACCTTCTGAAGTTTTCCTTTTTCGTTATTTTTCACATAAGCAAAATTGTCAAAAATATTTTTTTTAAATACCTATTGAGCTTGATGTAGAGATAACAAGTTCCTGAAAACTAATACGTTAGTAATGACATCTTTGTACACAGTCTTAACAAAACAACGTCTGCAGTTATGAGACCGGGAGAAGTAGTGGATAAGAAGAGTGGTTAAAAAAAACGCTAACCAAAATATTTTAGCGGACTTAGGTTTATTCGTAAAAATGAAAAAGGAGCCTAAAAATACCTGTACTATCGCAGATTTTTTTTTATTTACCGGTGATGTTGTGAAAACGTCGTTTTTTGCAGTTACAATTTTTTCTTAACTATTTAAAAAACAGTGTCCTTAAAAGAACTTGTAGATATTAAATAGATCAACAAAATAAGACTAATCAAGTTATAATAATTTTTTTCAAAATGCAAAAAACTCCTTAAAATCAGTGTTCTTAAGACAACAATTCAAACAAAAAATTTTATACTCAGACGTCTTACATTTAAATACATTAAAGGCTTCAACGAGTTGTGCTAGTGGTATTTTTTTTGATTTTTCACCTTGCATACTTTTTACAAATTTATCCATAAAGAAGCACTCATTTGCAATTTTTATGATTATCTCTTTGGTAGGTCGTACAGTGTTGTATTTAGGCTTATTTTCTTTCTTAAGAGTTGAACTACTAGTGTTTGTTTACAGTTAATTTACTTTCGCAATTTGGATCTTGAAAATCAGAGTGCAAAACAGTGATAAGTTGCAAAATGAAATTAGACAGTAAATAATAATAGCTTTGGTTCAAAATTTGTGCTATTTGGTTAGCAGAGTTTTCATCTAAATTAAAAAAAAAAGAATTGCCCTTCTACTGATAAGGGCAGTTAGAATTTTTTCCTCCTAAATATTCCTGACACTCTATTTTTATACTTACTTTGGTGCCTTGATTCCTTCGAATATGATTCTCGATTTTGCTAAAGACTATCGCCAGAAAGTTATTAACGAGAAACATAAACTTATACTTACGTGATCAAGAACTAATTTCAATGCAGTCATGCAATTACAGATAATGTCTAGTGGCAACGCTAACGCAGTATTAGTCTGAAAAGAGATCAAAATAGAAATATTGAGACTTGAATGACGTATGCACCATATAGTGATGTCAGATTCTTATGAAATTTGACTGCTTTATTATTAACAGAAAGATAAGTTCATATTCATAAGTCTCCAAACTTAGGAGCTCTATGAATATTCACTCTTGCCCACAACATCAAAGCTCTTAGTCAAATACAAAAGAGAAAGTTTATGGTTGGAACTCTGTTTTTACAGTATACCTTGTAAATCTGAAAATTTTTCGTACAATACAATAGAAACAACTCTCCAAGAACAACTACACAATGCTAGAAAATTGTATGTTTTTGGCTCGTTAAGGACACAATGGTTAGAGGGATTCAAATTTATTGGTCATGATATTACTGATTTGGGCTATCCTTCAACTAATAAAACATAACTAGCCACTGTTCATCCACATTACAATGGGATATACAAGGCCAACTGTGCGCATCATAACATTAGACTGTACAAAAAGTTTTTCCTCGATTTGCCTGTGTTAATGGAATGGATATAAATGATATTTATAAGACTAAAATAATTTATTTTTATTTTGAAAGATAATTTTTTTTTGTTAGCAATTTTGAATTCAAATCTTCTTATAAATTTTTGTCCATTTATATGTATGCATAAGCTTTTTTTTCACTATGACACCAAGAGCAGTAAGGTCAGCAGCAGAACTGCCGTGCGACAACAGCACCTACGTACTGTTGGCTGCTCCTATGCAGTAACGTACACAGTAAAGATTGGAGGTAATAGAGTAATGGAATTCAACGCAGCAGCACTCTTAATGCAGTAGCATTGCGGCTACCAGGCTGAAAACTCCTATAAGGATTCTAATCTAGTAAGGGTTCATATCCAGTAAGAAGGATAATCCAGTGAGTGATCTTATGCACATGAGGGTATAAGTACCCATACTGGATGAGAATCCTGATTGGCTTGGAATCCTAATAGCTCACCTACTGTCACAGAACCTTTCAATTTAATACAGTGAGTGTTAAGACAAATGTAATGTTCGTAATGCTTAAAATATACAATATCTTAAACTTTTTTTTAACTCTTTTTCTAGCTGCACAAAGATCATGTTAATACAAGAAAAACAAAAACTTCAAAAATTATATTTCGTAGTAAAAACTCATAAAACAATGTGAGGGTATTTATTGCAAACACCTTCAAACAATTTGCTGTAGCTTCGACTATGGAAATGGATATGACCCGTTGTCCAGCTTATCCGTAGTATCCTCACAAGCATCTGATAGATGATAGCCTCGATTTACCAGGCCTTGATAATTGTCATTGTGGATGATGCTGCTATTGGCATATTTTACAGGTACCTCACTGCAATGTAGATGTAAGTTTATTAATATTACATTTT